ATCTATCCATTCGTCCATCCATCCATTCACCTATCAGTTTATCCATTCATCTATCCATTCGTCTATTCATCCATCATCCATTCGTCCAAACATCCATCCATCTATCCATCCATCCATCTATCCATCCATCCATCTATCCATCCATCCATCCATCCATTCATCTATCAGTTTATCTATCCATCTATCCATTCGTCCAACCATCCATTCATCTATCAGCTTATCTATCCAGCTATCCATTCGTCCAACCATCCATCCAACTATCCATCAATCTATCTATCTATTCGTCCATCCATTCATCTATCCATCCATCTATCCATCCATCTATCCATTCATCCATACATTCATCCATCTATCTATTCGTCCATCCATCCATTAATCTATCAGCTTATCTATCCAGCTATCCATTCGTCCAACCATCCATCTAACTATCCATCCATCCATCTATCTATTCGTCCACCCATCCATCTATCCATTCATCCATACATTCATCCATCTATCTATTCGTCCATCCATCCACTCATATATCAGCTTATCCATCCAGCTATCCATTCGTTCAACCATCCATCCAACTATCCATCCATCCATCCATCTATCCATTCATCCATCTATCCATTCGTCCATCCATCCATCTACCAGGTTGAAGTTGTCATCAAGAGGCCGGCTAAATGGCCAGACTGGCATCGTCCCATTCAAGCGGGATGGATGAGCGATCCGAGGTGTAGGCCAGTCCGATCGGGTTGCTGATGATTCGCGGTTCAATTGGCTCGGCGTCCGGCCGAGTGGAGAGTCTCCAGTGCCATGGTTGCCATGTCGTCGCTGTCGTCAACTCTACAGACGGCGAAGACGAGGCAACGACTAATGACGTGGGCGCCAGGCTTGAGGGACGTACAGCTCGAGTGAGCAGAGTTGGTGGAGTAGGCTGAGGTGGTCTGGCATGGTGCGTTGGTCGGCTGTGGGCAACTGTCCTGTCGTTCTCTTTCGGAGCTTTCACAGTTTTGCATGCCACTTTCTTCTTTCTTTCCTCCTCCTCCTTCTCCTCCTCCTCCTCCTCGTCCACCCTCTTCATACTATCTCCCAGTATCACCAGTCCGGCATCTTTCGCCACCCAGTTGGAGTAATAGTCATCAACGCCATCACCATACTCATCATCATTGTCATCGTCATCATCACCTTCAGGCTGGCCAGTCTGACAGACAGCAGCGTAAAATGTATTTCCAGGACTGCCGTCAATGGAGCGCGTCATCGGTAGATAACGCTGTTGGTAAAGCTGGACAAAAAAAAGGAAACAATATACTTCAGGATCGGCCTAAAGTGACTCTGCCATAATAATAATAATAATAATAATAAAATTAATAATAATAATATTAGTAATAGTAATAATAATAATAATAATAATAATAATAATAATAATAATAATAAATAATAATAATAATAATAATAATAA